CCAGCCCTAACCATTCTATGATTCTATGGGATAAATGTAGGCAGATGGAGAAGATAAAACATAGAACCATAGAATCATAGAATGGTTTAGGTTGGAAAGGACCTTAAAGATCATTTAGTTCCAACCCCCCCGCCATGGGCTATGGGAGGGCTGTACAGAAGTTAATACCACAGTATTTCAGTCTACTTTCCTTAAAAGATAATTCAACGTTGAAAGTTTTTTAAGTCTACAGTAACAAAGAGCTGTCAACTGTAGAGAAATTATGTATTCTGGCTGTGAAATATGTACAGTGACAACTCTTAGACTGCCGCTGGACGTTACCATTGAGAGCTCATGGCTTACCAGAGATGAGCAGTAAACTTGGGAGGGGTAGGAGACTTTAGTATCTTGTCATTTATGGTATACTAGATGTGTGAAATCATAGAATTATAGAATCACAGAATGGTTTGGATTAGAAGGGACCTTAAAGATCATCTCATTTCACCCCCCTGCAAAGGGCAGGGACACCTTCCACAGGAACAGGTTGCTCGAAGCTTCATCCATCCTGGCCTTGAATACTTCCAGCGATGAGGCAGCCACAACTTCTCTGGGCAACCTGGTCTGGTGTTTCACCACCCTCAGAGTGAAGAATTTCTTCCTTATGTCTAGTACAAATCTCCCCTCTTTCAGTTTAAAGCCATTGCCTCTTGTCCTATCACTACATTCCCTTGTAAAAATCCCCTCCCCAGCTTCCTTCTAGACCCCCTTTAGGTACTGGGAAGCTTCTAGAAGATCTCCTTGGAGCCCTCTCTTCTCCAGGCTGAACAACCTCAACTCTCTCAACCTCAACTCTCTCAGCTTGTCTTCAGAGGAGAGGTGCTCCAGCCATCACCTCATCTTTGAGGCCCTCCTCTGACTCGCTCCAACAGCTCCATGTCCTTCTTATGTTGGGGAGCCCCAGAGCTGAACACAGTACAACAGGCGGGACCTCATGAGAGCAGAGCAGAGGGGCAGAATCACCTCCCTTGACCTGCTGGCCACACTTGTTTTGATGCAGCCCAGGGTATCGTTGCCTTTGTGGGCTGCAAGAAAACATTGCCAGCTTATGCTGCTCTTCTCATCAATCAACCCTCCCAGGTCCTTCTCCTCTGTGCTGCTCTCGATCCATTCTGCATCCAGCCTGTATTTATGCTTGAGATTGCCCCGACCTATGTGCAGGATCTTGCACTTGGCCCTGTGGAACTTCATGAGGTTTGCACGGGCCCACATCTCGATCCTGTCAAGATCCCTCTGAATGGCATCCCTTCCCTCTAGCGTGTCAAACACACCCCACAACTTGGTGTTGTCAGCAAACTTGGTGAGGATGCACTCAATCCCATTGTCCACGTCAATGTTAAACAGCACCAGCCCCAATAACAATCCCTGAGGAATGCCACTCATCACTGGTCTCCACTTGGACATCAAGCTGTTGACCACAACTCTTTGAGTGCGACCATCCAGCCAATTCCTTATTGAAGGAGTGGTCCATCCGTCAAACCATGTCTCTCCAATTCAGAGCCAAGGATATCATACGGGACAGTGTCAAATAGGTAGATAAAGAATAGGGGTAATCCCATGGGGATAAATAATATAGTATTGATAACTTACCGACAAGTGGTGTAATAGCAGATGTGAAAACAGAACTACTTTGGACAACGAAGGTCATACCAGCCCCTGCAAGCATAGCCAGGTATCCCGCTAGCCAAGTAAAAGGAAATGGAAAATCTAAAAAAATAGAGGGAGAACATTGTCTTTAGGTTAACAGGATGCTCTACGTAACAGTAACACAGCAGTGAAAAGACTATTAAGCATTTCAAATGTAGATATATTGTCTCTTAGATGACGATTTTTGGTCAGAGTCAGTTCCACTGCTCTAAATTACCCTGTTCGCTGTACTGCCTCTCCAGCCTTCCACCACTGGATACACTTTGAGACAGATACTAGACAAGGTAAACATTTGTCCAGGGTAGCATATATGTTGTGGTACAATTAGGTACCAGAAATGTTTCCACAGAGGTCAACACAAAACCTTCTAGGTGTCTTGAGTGCTTTGGTTTCAGCAACCAGACCACCACTGCCTGGATGTGATCTTCAGAAAGCTCTGAAGATCATCCTGAGAAAATCAGGTTGTTTGTTCTAACTAGTTTCAAGCAGATCACCTCGTAAAAACTCACTCTTTAACTCTTGCAAAGAAAAGCTAATCACAGTGATTAGAAAAACTATGCACAATGGTTCCCTGTCATCTGCAGATTTATGAGTGAGTCAGGAAGTGAGGACTAGATCAGAATAGATCACAAATGAACAGTAACCAGCAGCTGGTTACTTTCTACCCCTCAGTTTTGATTTGAGCAGTGTTCTTTGCCCGGGAGAAGAGAAAACAGCATGGGGACCACTTTGTTGCCTTCCCCATTTCTTCTCTCTTCAACCACAACCAGAGATGTGCCAGGACTGCTTTTCTCTGCTACAAGTTCTAACTGCTCTGTCTAAGGGAGGATGAAGAAAAAGCAGTTAAGTGAAAAAAAAAACAATGACATTTGCACTCAGTGGGTCCAGGCTGAAAAAACAACTGGAGAATACGGAAAGACACAAAGTACCACTATTCAGGGCTGCCTTATCCTACTGAAGTGAGGGTTAAGCACTGGAACGGGGCAAGCAAAGGGAATTAGATCATTAATCACTACAAACTTTTTTTCAGCTTACTTTAGAAGAGACATGCAGGCTCTGTGCCAGAGCAGGCAATCACGCTCTCAGCACTTCAGCGCTATCTTTTGAGGACGGGAACATTACATTTCTAACAGCTAATGATTATACATCAAGAAACCGAGCCTGGACTTTGGTCTCTGTTGCTGTTAATCTGCTGCAGTTCTCAGGCAAGCTGTTGGCTAATAGATTTTTAAAAGAAAGAAAATAACATGCTTGGGAGAAAAAATGTTGGGGGGAGAGTGATTTTGGTTTAACACCGTTTTCTTTAAACTATTCTATAATATTTGCCAGAAGGGGAGATATCAATAAACGTGCTCAGTGTCCTTGTCTTTCCTGAAAACAATCTTCAGGAAAAGCAGATACTTACCAGTGTTGATTGTCTTCTTGATAACGCTCGCCACTTGTCCTTTAAGCACAGAGTTTAATAGCTTAACGATCATCACCAAACAGGAGCACAGAACGAGCAGGGACAGAGCCAGAAGGATGAGACCGATGGCAAGATCAGGCAGGTTTGTGTTTGCAAAGAGATGCCGGCCTGAAAAAGAAAAGGAAAATGAATTGGCCTAGCTATGTTTTTGCTTCTGATCTCAAGCCTAGCTCTTGTTTTCATCCATGAAAACGGGAACAAAGCACACACGGCTTGAAGAGAGAAGGAAAAGAGTGGAAATGCCACCTGCCTTGCTCCACGAAAGTCATGTCTGAGGTGGGCTAGAGGGGTTCTTGTATGGATATGCTCATAAAATACCCAGTGGGCAGCCCTATGGGACAGGCAGGAGGTGGGGACCCTCTGCAAGGGAGAGGAATATAATGGTGTGAGGAAATTTTTGTGTGCTCTGAGCCGGATGATGGGTTGGCTCTTCCCAGCAGTGACTGTGCATCTGAGAAGGGCCGCTGAAAGTCCTGAAGGGTATGCGTAGGGGTGGAGATATCCGAGCAAACATTGCAGCAAAGTAACTGAAGCTCCAAGTCACCTGGACATCGAAGGTGACATGATACTGAAAGACCTAAATTACTGATGTCAGGGAGCATGGAAAGAGATCCATCTGCAGCCAGATACCATGATGCTGCTGGTAACTCCAGCTGTGTAGCTATAACAGAGCAGGGGCTGCTCTGACTGCACCCACAGTCATACCTTGTATCCAGGTACAGGCGAGTGCCTCTCTATATACCTCCAGAGTGGTCTGTTGACACCATTAGAAAGCTATATACATTTGAAAAGATACTGCCAAAGGAGAAATAGTTCTCCAACTTACATTTACTGATATATTCTGTTTCAGTTACATTCTTGATGGTCCATGTTACGTTTCCCTCAGTCCAGCAAAGGTCAGGAGATGTGCAGTTTTCTGAAGGTGGAATGGTGACATTCTGCAGTGTCTAGAGATTGCCAGACAAAGCAAGTAGTTCAGTCAAAGTTCTGGGTTTTTACTACAACCAAGCATTCATCAACTAAAGGCAGATTTGTAAACTGGAGTGTAAGCTGGCACCACGTTAACGACAGGGCAAAATTTTTTACATTCTTAAAGTAAATGGTTGTGCTGTTACCCAAGTCGATCCAGACATTTAAAGACCAAAATATCCCCCAAACCTTCTGCATTGTAATAACCATAGCACCAAGTGATCAGTAGATAAGAACCTTAACTACTGATGTCAGGGTTTGTGGAATGAGGTTCATGTCTGGCTGCAGCTGGGGGACACTGACATTCCTTTTCCAGCCAGGGCCACAGCTTCCCTGGGTCAAAGACAGACCTTCTTACTGTCATCTTAACTGCAATTAATGGACTGGTGAGTACTGCCCAGGACTGTGATTCAGCATGCTACAATACTAGCGCAGCTTCTGCTGCTGGATGAGCACAAGCTGCTCACGCTGACCTTCTGTGTCTCCATTTTCCTGTCTGTAGAAACAGAAGGGCAGCTACTGCTTTCCTTTTTAAAGCTCAAACGCTATCTAAGAGCTAATTACTAGCACCATGATTATCATTAGTATTACTGAGCTAAACTTGAATTTGCAATAGGATCTTCATTGTAAGAGCTCCTAGCTCAGCCACGCTGCATTCTGGCACTAAGTCCATAAGTCCTTATGAAGATTAAGAAAGAGTTTGCTGACTGAACTGTCCTTCCCCACAAGAGCAGTTAATGGCCAAATGGGCTCTGAAACACATTGCTGAACAGGAGGTATCTTTAAGACATGTTCAAATTATTATCTTTTGCACAAACAGGAAAAGAAGAATCCTGTTTTCTTGCTGGGCACTGCCTGCAGACACCTGCATTTGCATTCCCCCTCCATCTGATGCAGATGAGCAAAGCTGGGGCTGGGTCCAGTGACCTCATATCTTCAGAGAGAGCCTGGTGGCCTCCTCAACACGTCAGCCTTCACAAACACAACATCACCTTGTTTCTCGCCTTCCTGATTTTTTTTCAGACATCTGAGTTTCAAAGCAGCTTCATTAGATCAAAATATTTATCCTTATGTTTTGCTTTAAACGTGAGGGTCTGCATGTATTATCCATGCCATAAGTCCGTTTCATCATTTTTGCCAGAAATGAGTTTAACCCAATAGAGATGTAAATCATTTAAATGATCTGCCTCTTCTCCCACCAAGTTTGAGTCAAGTTTGTAGGGGTTTCATGTGTTTTTTGTAGTTTGACTATAGGCTTGGGCTATAGTTACACAGCCAAAATATCATTAAGCACAGAAAGAAATTGTGTATATGGAAACGTAACCCTCAGCCTACACTTTCTGTGTAGTTACTTGTTTTCTAAGAGTAGGGGACTATAGGACTTAGGGGCTCAGACCTCACTGAGCAGTATGCTGTTCCTGCCTGGGGAAGTACGGTGAAGGGGTAGCCAAGTGCAGGCTGGGGCCCAAGACCAGTACAGGTGCCCCAGCATTATACCTGCCCTGAGCTGAAATACCCAGCCCCTCAGCAGCGTAACCTGAGCAGAGCTTCATGTTAGCACAGCTCTGCTCCTGGCACTATCTCCCCAGCTAGCGTTTCACTGGCCATCCAGATCGTCATTCAATAGGAGCCTGGCTCCTCCAAAATTAATTTTAATCTCTGCTGTGTGTCCTTAAGTATCTTCTGCCTCAGGACTTCAGGAATTACTTTTCTATACACAGCAACAAGTAGAATTGTCTAATTAGAGATCCGAGGGATATTAAATGCGCTAATTGTTAGTTAGCTGAACAACAGAAACCAAACACTCCACAGTTTACCAAAATACTCATTGGTGTCGATCTGGGCAACAGATTCCTTCAAGCTGCAGCGTTGCTTGAGTGAAGAACAATGGGACGCAGTCCCACAGAGGCTTTCTCCGAGGGCACCTTTCCAGGAAAGCTGCAAATAACCAGCTGCCACCAGATCACCCTAACACACGTAAGACTAAAGCTGGGTAGATCAATAGATAAACAGTGGACAAAAAGATATTTTCTTTGGCCTATATTGCAGATTTTTTCCACTTTCAGGGGGTTGGTAGGTGTATTGGGGTTTGAAGGCATTTGGATGCGAAAGGAATAAAAGGCTTGGCTTCAAACCACCAGTTCTGATAAGCAAGGGCCTGCATGGTACCAAAAGCCAGCAGGTCAAGCTCACCACTGGTATGACATCCTTTGTTTACATGGAGCAAAAACTACATTAAATTGTTTTCATTCTTTTTCTGCTGCAAAAAAAAATACTCATTAAAAAAAAACTCATTTCACAATCCTATGATAAGGAGTGTCAGCCACAGTTCAGTAATATGCTTCCTGAGGAACCTGACAATGAATTTAACATGATACTCACCACATTGGTTTCAGTTACACACCAAATCTTTAACAGGCTTTTGTTTTTTGCTGATTCATCATTTGTAGCAATTGCGTTTATTACTGATTTATCAAGCTTAGAAAAACAAAAGAAGAAAAAAAACTCACATTATTCCAACTTGCACCACATACTTCTGTTCAGTTCTACTCAAATAACTCCCTTTGGAAGCTCAACTATGTAAAGCTTCCATGACCACCTCTAATGCTGGAGCTGCTGCCCAACAAGTAGGAGGGAGTTTACTCCCAGAAAAAGGTGCAACTCTACACGTACAAACACTGCGACTTATTCTCCTCAAATCATCCGCCACCTCATATCACCTTTTCTATTTAAACAACTATATTGGCACAACTGTCCAAATGCATTTACTGTCATTTTAGGAGCTGTGCGCAATTCCCCTGGCCTCCAGCTGCCCGTCTAGATGTGTGTGTTTCTCATCATTTCAGTGTCGTCTCTTCAGGTTCTATGCAGATGTTCTGGATGTGCTAGGTTGTCTCTGGTGGTACTATGGGCCAATGTCTAGGCAACAGGCTGCCATCCCATCCATCTCACGTGGCTGTGTTTGTCCACACCTGCCTTCCCAGTCCTCCTAGCTAGGTCTGTCATCATCAAGGTGAAATGTGAGGGAAATAGGAAATATAGAGCTGGGGTTTATGAAATGCAAATAAAAAGAAGAATCCATCTGCTAATGAGCTTCACCCCGAGGACACAGAGAAGCGAGTGGGAGCCCCCATCCCATATTCAGAGCACTTCAGTCGGCTGTGACTGAACCAAGTAAGCAGCTTCCTTGACGAGAGAAAGAGCTTACCTCAACGATGAGCTTCGTAAAGGGGTCTGTGATAACTTTCAGTAGCTCAGGGGCGTCCTCACCACTTTCAAGATGAAAGGACTCAACTATAGCATTGGTGAGATGGTAAAGATAGCCAGAAATAACTTCAATGGGCAACAGCGCAAACACAGCAAGCCAATTAAAGAAGTCATGGATTGTTGCCCCAGCAAAGGCCCTGCATGAAGAAATTAAAAAAACGAGCTGCTTTTAATTAAACAACATGTGCACAACATCAATTAAATATGAAATCATAGAAGTGAGGATGAAGCCCATTTCAAGATGGCAATCATTTCATTTCTAGGGTCATAGAGGATGACTCCTTTGCTATAGAGCTTTTTCTCCACACTGTTGACCAAGCGGAAGAGCCAGCCAGGTGAGTGAAACAGGACAAATCAGAAAAGGCAAAAGTGATCCTTTACACAAGGCTGCAGAATTACTTGTCTGAAGAAAGAAGTGGTTGTGCAGCCTACATATGTTTTGTCTCTCACGTATTTTGATACATTTTTAATCCTCAGCCAGGCATTGCCTCTGGGACCTGTTCTCCCTGACTCATGAGGGAAGACAGCTCTTTGCAGCCCTCTCACATGTTCTTGCAAACCATTTTTGTATGGCATCCCTCTAGCTTCACCTCCACAGCCTGAGGAGCCACAGCTCTTCCTTCAGAGGCTTTGGATAAGTATGTTTTTTGATGGGATATTTATTGATTTAGTGATTGAGTGCACCCTCAGCAAGTTTGCTGATGACATCAAGCTGTGTGGTGTGGTGGACACACTGGAGGGAAGGGATGCCATCCAGAGGGACCTTGACAGGCTGGAGAGGTGGGCCTGTGAGAACCTCATGAAGTTCAACAAGGTCAAGTGCAAGGTCCTGCACATGGGCCTGGCCAATCCCAATCACAAGTACAGGCTGGGCAGAGAATGGATCGAGAGCAGCTCTGAGGAGAAGGACTTGGAGATGTCAGCTGATGAGAAGCTCAACATGAGCCGGCAATGTGTGCTTGCAGCCCAGAAAGCCAACCGTGTCCTGGGCTGCATCCAAAGCAGCGTGGCCAGCAGGTCGAGGGAGGTGATTCTGCCCCTCTACTCTGCTCTTGTTAGGCCTCACCTGGAATACTGCATTGTCACGTGAAACCAGGACATACTTTCAGCTCTGAGGCCCTCAACACAAGAAGGACATGGAGCTGTTGGAGCGGGTCCAGGGGAAGGCCACAAAGATGATGAGAGTGCTGGAGCACCTCTCCTATGAAGACAGGCTGAGAGAGTTGGGGTTGTTCAGCCTGGAGAAGAGAAGGCTCCAAGGAGACCTTTTAGCAGTCTTGCTAAGACCCTCTAAAGGGGGCCTACAAGAAAGCTGGAGAGGGAGTTTTTACAAGAGCATGTAGTGATAGGACAAGGGGCAATGGCTTTAAACTGAAAGAGGGTAGATTTCTATGAGAGATAAGGAAGAAATTCTTCACTCTGAGGGTGGTGAGATACTGGAGCAGGTTGTCAAGAGAAGTTGTGGCTGGAAGTGTTCAAGGCCAGGTTGGATGAGGCCTTGAGCAACATGATTTAGTGGCAAGTGCCCCTGCCTGTGGCAGTGGGGTGAAATGAGATGATCTTTAAGGTCCCTTCCAACCCAAACCATTCTATGATTCTATGATTTCACACATCTGATGTGCCATAAATGACAAGGTACTAAAGTCTTAAATGCCTCCCAAGTTTACTGCCCATTCCAGTAAACCATCAGCTCTCTCAGTGATAATGTCAAGTGGTAGTCTGAGTTGTCTCTATACATATTTGACAGCCAGAACACTTAATTTCTCTACAGTTACAAGCTCTTGCTTGCTATAGACTTAAAAAACTTTCAACATCGAATTGTCTTTTAAGGAGAGTAGAACAAAATACTGTAATATTAACTTCTTGTACAGCCCTCCCATAATTAAGACATAATCAGAGGTGGGTGGTATAGTGGGAGCAATTGAAAATTTATCCTTGTGCAAGATCTCGTTAAAAATGGTGGATTCTTATAAAACCACGAAACTTTTAAAGGAATTCAATATGCTTTTCTTCAAGTATAAGAATCCTTACATCTAGATAGCATTATACCTTGGTTGTGCTTGTGACTTAACTAGACATTCAAGTTTTGGTCAATAGAAAGGTTGAATGGCTGTAGTAGTGATAGGGAACATGAAGCAAATCTATGAATAAGGAATAAAAGCAACTTTTCAGTTCTAGCGTTTAAGTACAATACCTTCTAAATTCATTCCTGTCCCCGGCTTGCATGAGTGCCACAATCGTGTTTGTAACTGAGGTGCCAATGTTTGCCCCCATTATGATAGGAATGGCTGATTGAACAGTCAGCACTAGAAAGCAGAAAAGGAAGCATTGAATGAAAAAATTAGATCATTAGCAAGCTCTTTTCTCCAATGAAAATTAACATCTGTTCATGTCACTGGAACCCTGACTGCCCTTGATGTCACTGGGATTAGGCACTCCAATCCATATACGTTTGCTTTGATGAAGACCCTGGGAATGTGGTACTCCCATAGTCTTGTGATCCTCATTGAAACTGCAGTCCATGGCCATCCCTTTTCACCACGTTAGAGGGTCAGAGTAAGATAAAGTCTCTTCTTTCCCAGGCATTTTCCTATTTACTGCAAAATTTTTAAATGATGTCACAGAAACAAAGGAAGTTCAGTAACTGGCTAACATGAGAAAAGTATGCAGATCCTCCCAAAATTAATGCACTCAATGTCAAGGCTTCCAATGATTTCCATTGCATTTGTGGACCTACTACTACTACCACTTTTTTTAAATTTTATTTTATATCAGGGCAATAGCTGTGAAAACCTTTCCCTGTAGTCTCTACTCTTACACCCAAAGCTTCTACGACTTGAACACAGGTAAGACTGTTTGCACCCCAGACCAAGATTAATGAGTGATGTCTAGGAAGATATTGTAAGCAGACTTACACGTGGAGGACACCATGCTGACCACAATGGATGAAGAAGTGCTGGAGCTCTGGACCATAACAGTCACCAGAACTCCAATCACCAATCCCGCAACAGGATTAGACAGCACTGAATCATCTTGAAAAATGTCCCCTGCGGCTTTACCTACAAAAAACATATTCTCAGAGTGAGGGAAGTGAAAGGTAACGTCCATAGGAATTATCAGAGCGTTTAATTAAAGATCATTCAACCATTTCATTGATATATATCAACCATTTCACTGATATATATAGCCATGCTCGCCAGCCAAAAAATGTCCAAGATGATGCAGCCCAGGGATCCAAATTCAGGTCCCGAACTCTAAGTTTCTCAGTTAACAGAGAATACTTTATATTATCTCATTTCAGTAACTGACCAAGCTCTACTGAGCTCTGCAGAGAACCATGTAAAAACACAGCCATCACAGGAAAGACCGTAGGACAAAAAACCACACATGCATAGATTTAAATGCTATTTCTGCCTTGATATTTTTGGTTACTGCATTAAGAAAAACTATTTTAGTAATCCTGAGTAATTCTGTTCCTGTAGCTTTCTGTGTTCTCAAAAATCAAAAATACCTCCACAGAAGCTCACGTATTTCTCTGATAACTGCTTCTGAATGCATCAGCAGAATTCAATCCTTGCAGATAGGTAAATGTAAAAAATGCATTCAACAGTTTTCATCTTCGAAGGATTTGGGGGACATTTCAGTGCTGGATGCTTTGATCAAGAGCTCAATTTTCATATTTCACATTGTTGAAATGTCCTTCATATGAAACAGATTTATGCACAGATGTATTCATGTAAACTGTCACTAAAGTAACAGGAACTTATTAAGAAATCAGGGCCAATAATCCCTACATCAACAACTCTTTGGAATTTGAGAAACAAAGGCCCTTTCAAACAAACGAAGGTCAGCCTTCAATCAGAGCTACTTCCTTCTGAATCTATATCTCAACACATAAAGCTGTGAAGAATGTTCTCAAAGAGTGATACCTGTGATTTAGTCACTCAGATGAAATTTACTGCCTCATTCATACTTTATTCTTGATGTTTTAGACATTTTCATACCTCCTACCAGTTGAAAAGCAGAACTCAGTACATCCAGAGAACACACGAACAAGTAGAGTAATCCAAGTAGCATAACAAACTTCCCTATCCCGTAGAGTACACGAATGATTTTTCCTTTTCTATCCAATTCTGCAAAACAAATACATTATGCATAAAAGACTCGCTTGATGTATCTGGTGTTCTCTCTGGAACAGTCTAGCACACAGGTAGAGACTACAGAGTCAAAGACAGTGTTGTGACCCCAGTGTGTGATTAAACCCGAAAGAATGTTGTTCTTAATCACATTTTAACTGCAGAAGTAGGTAGTTCGTTTAGCTAGTTTTATTATGCAAAAGTTTTTGGTATATGACAAAAGCCTTATGACGTCTGAGATTGATCCTCAGTTTTACACAGTCTTTACTGAGCAAAGAAAGACAAATAGGAGCCTGGATATAAAACCATATTAGCTTTGGATTGTTTTCCATATATCCTCATGTTTTAAGGAAGGTAAGCAATATGATTTCCAGATGATTCTTAACTGACTAAATATAATATCTTCATTCACTGGTGGGGAAGGTGAGACAGATTGTAAAGCCTACCTCTGAAAACTTGTCAAATCTTACGTTTGATTCTGCAGTAAATATCATTTCAGAAAAATAACAGAGACAAAGATACCAAAAGTGATGGGAAAAATAAATGCAGGTAACTTATTTACTGAGAAATGGCTACCTGACCACTTGACCCCTGTGTCCTGTAGTTCTGGCAGAGCCCATGGGTCGTCTTCTTCTGGCCTTGTCTCATCTATCAAGGCTATTGTGGAAAACGCAGGTTGAATTTCCCCTTTATTTCCAAGTGAAGCCACGTTGCCTGATAAAATAGAACATTAAAAAACTGAATTAATTGATTTCTATCTTCTCCAAGGAGCCACAAAATGTACATATTTCTGTAACTTAAAGGTGAGCACACATTACCTTTGTGATTTTCTCCTTCTTTCCCAGCCATGTTCTGGTTTTGCTTGGAAGAGTCCCCAATATAGTTATTGGTTTCAGGCTTTTCTACTTCAGGCCAGGGAGCCATGATCTGTGGCAAACAAAGCAGTGCTGATTAAAATGCAGTCAAAATATTCAACTTACAACAGGGTACGTGAAAAATATAATTAAGTTTAAAAGCACAAGAGGTGGACATGGAACGGAAGCAATTCTTCCTTGAACAGAGCTTTTTACTAACCTTTATGAATTATTGCTTTATTTGCACAATTGATCTCTCAATTATCTTTTAAATCACAGAGTTGATCTATTTGTGCAATTTACACAATTGAAAAATAATATTTCCATCTCATGCCTGTATTTTTGTACACTTTTAACTGTCATGAGAGCAAACATTCCTCTGCTTTCTGAACCTTAGACGTTTCTTTTCTTTCACTCATTTTATCTCCTTTCAGCAAAAATCAGAGGACTATTTTGCTTTCTTCCACTTTCTGGATTTACCTGACTGTCTTTACGAAACTGGCAATGCAATATACAGACCTTAGCAAAGAAAACTCTTCCCTGAAGTATTGCCTAATTTGGGTCACATATGCTAAACACAATCTTCTCGTTGCCTTTGCTGGTTCATTCCCATGGAAGCGTGGAGGAGAATGTGACCCTGGACAAGGTGGAGGAAGACCCCAGAGTTTCGAGCTCCAGAATGATGCTTGCTAAACAGCTGGACAAGAGCGTAATTAGATGGCAGCGGCCATTTGCGGGTCTGTGTTTGCCTATAACTCACAGCTGATGCTGCGAGCGAAGCTGACGTAGTGGCAGCAAGGTCAGGCTCACCCGTCTCACCTGGGGTCTCTGTCCGAACCTCTTCCTTTCTCACCCCTTTTGAGCACTTTTGACACACATTGCAATATCAACAAATACTAACTTAAAAAATAAGACATTGCGTGGCCAAATCCTGCTGGCACAGGTACAAGCACATGTGACAGACCTAGCCCAGGCACAAGAGGAGGAGGCAGCTGTTCCTTGAACCAAAACCTGGAAGAGTCCTACTTATTTACTTCACCAATATCAGAAGCCAGAGGGACGAAGACAAAAGAGGGGGAAGGTGACTATGGGGAGCCGACACAATATATGAAGATACTTCTACCTTTCCAGGCTTGTCAGGCTGCTGATTAGCTCAGACAGTGTGACTGAAAACTCAGTGGAAAGGATGGGAGAAGTGAACTCTACCCAGAAAAGCCTCACATTCAGATCTGTCTCTTCCACCCTCTCTGCCACACCAGTCAGTCAGTGCTGCAGGCAAAGTTGTCCCGCAGCCACCACATCTGGCACCCCCACGGCCAGAACATCGGTGAGGGAATTTGCCTGAAATGCTCCTCGTAAACTGGGCACTTGTGCCCAGCCTCCAAAAGTCAGTGTCAGCGTTGGTACCCTGCTCCTGTAAACAAGGTTCACCTGCATTTAGCAGTCACTCTAAGGGAGTATCATTAATCATTCATTTAATCATAATCCTTTATGTAGCTGACGGTGAAAATATTTTGACCCTGCCCACATCAGTAAGCCACACATCCTCCTCCTTTAGCTGGGGAGGAAATGTCACAGACAAAGTCACTCATGTCTTACTGTAACAGAGGAGGGTATTGTTTTCTGACACTTCAGGGAGAAAAGAGTGTCTCCCGTTCCACATTAGCAGGAAAAAGTATTCTACAATCCCCTTAGCAAAAACTATCCTTTTCTGCATTCTTTATCTGTGGCGTAAGATCCAGAGCAGCTCCCAAGATACACAAATAAAGATCTCAGAACAGATGGAAGAAAATCACTCTTGCTTGTTTCAACAAGAATTTTCATTTGCTTGGAGCAAAATCTCATATTTTCACCGATGCCAGAACAACCTCCGAGCCCCACCCGTGCCAGAACACCTCCGTCTTGTTAAACGAGTTTCATTTATACATGTTCAGCATTTAAAGAGCTCTAAAAAAAAATAACTGCTCAGCACAAGTACTTCTCAAGTGAAATGCAATCCTGAAAATGCGTTGGAAATTCACATGTGAAGATGCATTGACAGCGTATTCGCACCATGGAGAGACACAGAATATGCCAGACACCACTAGTCCTAGAGATGCCATCAGTACTTTTACAGCTCTTCTGTTACCCTCGGTATGGAAATGAAGGATTCAGCCTGCATGATTACTGTATGGAAACTGAGCTAATGCATTCCCTGGAGAAACCGGAGCTTGAAAACTTCAGCAGACAAACCACCTCTATGTCTCCTAAATCAACTCTCTCCATCCAAGAATTCAGCAGGGCATTTCTTTATAATAAACTTCTCCTGTGTTCCTGAAGTGCTCAGGATCCCACAGGTACGTTATGTATTATTATTGTTTTTGCTTTATGTGATTAAATACCGCAGAATGAGGGTTGACCACCTCTGTGGAGGAAGTTTTTTACAGGTATGTACATAAAATTATTCATATAAGCCCTAGTCAACCTCTGATTTCAGAAGGCAGATTGGAATACTGGGGATCTTTACAGTATTTGCCTTGTGCATTTGGGTTTGCAGAGGTATTATTAGAACAGCCCATTCTGTATGATTGGTATCAAGGACTGATGAAAGCAGAACATTCTAGATCCTTGAAGTGCTACCAAAGCTGTCAGCTTTCTCCAGATCTCAACTCTTGTTAAGAGGAACAGCTGAGAAGATAGTTTACAGCCACCTGATACTCTGTTTGCTAGAGTCCTGGCCACAGCTACTTACTGTTAATTAATCGCTGTGCTACAAGGATAATCTACATTCTACAGTTTTCCCTTCAAAGAATTCTTCCTTGGCCCAAATACAGACATTAACATCCTGAGAAAAAAATGCAGAAAATCTGGGTGCTGCAGAGGAGCAGAGCAGTGGGTTGACAAAGCTCACTGCATCATTCCCTGGCAGCTCATATGTGCCTTTGGAGAAGCTGACGTCAGGCGTGGTATAAAAGATCAACATCATTTGACACAAGATAGGAATGACAATGGAAGCCCTAATAGTGGTTTACTTTTGAACACCAAAGAGGTAACTACACTGCGAAGGAACACGCCAGAGAACGGGCAGAGGATGGGCCGGTGACGATGCACACCGCAACAAGGAGCGACGTTCAGCTGGACACACCGGTCCAGGTCCAAAGGCAGGATAGCCACAATTGCTTGGACGAGGTGCCCACAGCGACAAGCTCTGCCCATTCCCATACCAGCCCGGCTGCCTCAGCACCGCGCGTCCAGGTCCCGCCTCAGCTGGCAGGACACGGGCCAGGACGCCTGCACCTGGCGCCTAGTGATGGAGCTCACATCTGGATCAGCATTGGCTCTTTAGCTATCCAGCAGTTGGGAGCTGTGCTGAAACGGGAGCCAATTTCCTCCTGAAAGTGGCAGGTCAAAATACACTGTGCATATTGCAAAGGTCTGAAAACTAATGCCTGCACAAACTGTAATCCAGTACGTTTCGGTGAACCTCATGGCAAATCCTCTCGCACCACCGTGTGCGCTCCTCTCAGTGTAAGTATAGTCTTTCCTTGCCTTCGGAAAATGCTAACTACATGTGACATCCTTTCTAACTCCAAAAGAAACTGAAACCTCCCGCTCCTAAAAGGGAGATAGAAGGAAATGATGGCATTCAAATTCTGAAATAAAACATGAGAGAGGGAAAGCCAAAGCCAAAGTGGGCTCCTGTGGTTTTTATAGCCATGTTCACTCTCTCACTGCAGCATTTCAAAGAGTTAAAGTCTCTGAGGAATTGTTTGAGCAACACTAGGTGTCATGCAGCTGCCCTATACTGTGTTCCTCAGTGACTCATTGGACTGTGAGAGCATTGCCTCGTGGCAAGGCTGGACTCCCCGTGCTTTTCAGTTTTAAATCAGCAACAGTTGTAAATCTAGGTATTTTGCTGAAGTTAACATGGAGAATATGAACTACCACTTGCACGTGCCTGGACAGTATTGTTTGTACCTCTCCACCCGTGACAGCTCACTGAAAGGCCACATTGTGCCTGAAATAAGAACTACAAAGCAGTAAGTCTTAAAGAAATCTAACTTCCAGGGGAACAGACCTGGTCAAACCCAGATGAAATAAAAGCTCTGGAGAAAACAGCAGTATTTTCAAAACCAACTGGTAATAACTACAGCAAATCCCAGCATGACCACACATGTGCCTGCAGGTTGCCTAAGCAGCCCCAAAACAAGTTTTGGATTCAGCCAGGCTTTCCTCTCTCTCACTCCCTCCTTCTCTCTCAGCTTTTCTACAAATACACATCTCTTTCTTGTCACTCACCACTGTGCTACGTTTTTTATGTTAAAAAGGATTTATCAGCTAATCTGATATCTGACTGTATGACGTAGTGAATATGAACATTTACTGCACATACTTTATGGGAGTAAATACCAAGCTACATAGGAATCCTTCTTATACAGAGTTTGAAGAAATATTGGGGGTTTTCCCCCTCAAATTTTAACGTTTAAGACATAGAACATTATGTAGAAACAGGAAAGATCCTCAGCCAGCAAAAATTCACTCAGTAGGTTTACATCAGCTGATAATTTTGCCCCAGAACCTGTTCCATGACAGCCACAAAATCCCAGGTGCAACAGAACAGGCAACAACTTAAATAAACACCAGCAATGATTCAGCCTTGCTGGGAGCAAGTCTTGCCTTTGCTCTGGCACCAGCCGCTTCCTTGGGGCTTTTTCTCTGGATAAGTTAACAGGCTTAACCAGGGTGTAAACTTTCAACTAATGTGTTAGTGAAGGAAAAAGTAGACATGTGAAAGCTAAAAGAAAAGGAGCATTGTGCTCACTGTTTATTCCTATGGATCCCTGAGACTTACTGCTCACAAGCTTGAATCTAACACATAGCAAAACTAAAAAAAAAAAAATATATAGACCAAACTAGTAAAGAGAATGAATTTCTAAGCAAGTGCAGAGAGAAAATGAATCCCAAACATTAATTTTTGCTTTCACAACCAAGCAAAGCACTGAACGCTGCCACTGAGGAGCCAGAGCCAGGAAATATCAGTGAACTACTTGAAATGTCTACTAGGTATTTAAATAAAACAATAACTTTTTTAGAATAAAACAACAACAAAACCAATAATCTCACCAACAAGGAAATACAACCCATCTACCCCATCCCAAACACAAAACGCATAGTAAAGAATCAAAAGAGGAAAAAAGAAATGATATTAAAAAGACTTACTGATCTAATGGAAGAGCTGCTAATAAAAGTTACTGAGAAACCAGTTGATTTCTGCCTACTGCCACATTAGTTGAGCTAACTACATTAGACTAATGTATTCCTTTTACCTCCACGTATCAAATCGAATTAGCATAAGGAAATGTTTCCATCAAGAATAGCCTGACACAGCCATAGTGCAGCATGCAGACTTTACACACTATCTATGCTAACACACAAACTGACAGTATTTCCTTCCAATGTTTCATTAATCATATCCTAGACATTTTCCAGTATCCAATACCACTGATTACTATGACTTAAAATCTCTCTTCTTTTCAATCCAAATAGAAGTTAAAGCAATACTTTCTTATGCTATAGGCTGTTATTTCTGTCTTTTTTTTCTGGCAGCTACTAATACAATGCATTTTTCCTGCATCATATTCCATAAAAATAAATCTAGTTATTTGCGGACAAAAAGTAGCCCTGTTTGCTTTCAGAACTATGATTTTTTTTGTCACTTCCTTAAAATACAAGTTCAGTTGAAAGAACACAAGGTTAAAACGCTGACAAGGGGATGACATTTCACATGTCCACTCCGGTTCCTCACATTAGCTCTCTGTTGCTACTTCTTGAGCTGCAAAAGCAGAGCTTTGGATTTATAACCTAAGCAAGTTCAAAAAAGAAGAAAAACAAACTTGGTCTTAGTTGTTTTTACTCACCACTTCTTTCTTCTCAGGCAACAGAGCGAACGGATCAACTGGGCAGCCACTGCAACCTGCAATATATATATAGACAGGTGTTGAGCAAAGTTTGCTTTCATCACTGCGCGCTGACATTCCTATTTTACAGTCCAGAGGCACTGCCTACCTGCAACTTAATGATCACAATCAACCTTTTTTTAGCAGGAGTGGGCAGCAACCAAGACTGATAAAACTACGGGCTATTTCACACTTATCACATTCTAAAAAATGTCCCATCAGCATTTAAGTACGAGTTACTAACGTGTTCATGTGAATGCTGGGGAACGGTTTGTTCCAGCCTGAAAAATTGCTGTCCACCTGATCATTCAGTAATCTTTTTTCCAATAATAATTTTCCAAAAATATTTTGCAATCTCAAAAGTCTGTCGAAAAGGTGTGAAGAAGATGTAGTACTGCTATTTGTCTGTTCAGGTGCGTATTAATCTGCCTAAGAACAGAAGTGAAGGAGAATCAGATAAAAAGCGGTGTAAGTAGGAAACACGTAAGAACTTCTTTGAGAACGGAGGATGGAGTTTCATTCTTATCGGTGCTCGATGTTTACAATTAAGGCAAGCTCATTAGCATTTTGGCTGTGGCTCTCCTTCTAAATGAGATTTAAAGATGTAAGGACACCTTTGATAATTGCATTCAGAACACTAGCAGGGAAGAAGACTATATGATAAATAGATACTTTATTCAATAAATACAGCATGGTATCAGAGATTAGACAAAGCAGTCACTAGCACTGCTGTCTGTTCTACTGATGAGCTTAACAGAGACTTTGGAGGGGCTGCATTAGGCACCGTAGCTGTATTATCTTTGAAATTTTTCTGTTTAAACAGGCAACTTGTACTGGGAAAATAAGCTGTAAACCAGCAGCCTAATCAGTGGATCGGCCTTGTCTGCATGTACACGGTCATATCTGCCAGCAGCTTAGTGACTTAGTAACTCAGAAAAATAAAACTCTTGCTTTTTGCACCTTTCAGTGCCACAGAGACGCCCAGCCTTTGGAGCTGTGAGTCAGAACTTACTCTTCACCTGCATTGGCATCAGAAACGTGGTGATCGTAGGAGACTCCGCAGCCCCGTACACAGCATCACATCGCGGCAACGGATCCACTGAGCCCCACCCCTGGCTGCAGCAGCTCTGCTGGTGTAGATCCCACCGCCCCCCATTGCCCTGGACACAGCTGATGTTGGAGTCTGAGGCTGAAAGCACCAGCCCTATCTCACCCTCCCCAGCTGCGGTGTGCACAGAGATGGCTATGGAAAAGAGACCAGCTTTTCTTCTGTGCAAACCAAACAGTCCAAAGTGGCAAGAAGTGACAGAAAATGAATGCAAGGTCCACCTTGGTGGTTCACAGGCTCAGTTTTCTTAACAAAAGTGTACATAACATTGCATCTAAAAATAGTTTTTCATTGCTACTCTACATGCAGGAAACCACATGAAGCTTTTAACTGGGAGACCTTGTGTTTCTCTGAGCTGTGGCTTATTCTCTTCTGAGTCACTGTTTGTGAAATCCAGCTCTGACAGTAAGAAGGTACAAGATGGCCATGTTAGGGCTCAGCCAGAGCGTGGTGACGTCTTCCACAACATTTTTATTCCAACGCTGCTCATTCCGTTTGCTAAGCACAATCCTATGTGCTGACCATGTTAATGTTTCAGGAAGGGAACAATCCTGGATCAGACCCATGGTATTCCTGAAAAAACTTTAGAAAGGAAAAACTAGTTGCTCACACAAAAGCAGGCGATCTACAGCCTGTCTTTGGAAGTCCACGGTGGATCTTCTGCAGTCAGTCTGGAAGAGTCTTTATAAGGAGCTATCCACAAGGAATGAAGGTGGATGGTATTTGTCCCAGAAGCCTTTCCCTCACTCAGGATTGGAGGAGAAGAGGCTGAAATTCTTCCCGAGACACCAGGACAGTCAGAGCAATAGTCCAGAGCACTTTTCATGCATCCAGCACAGATTAAAAAGATGCTGCTATTAAGGAAGAACAACCTTTCTTGCTCTTTCTTCCCCCTTTAGGGCTTACTTTGAAGCAACTGACCTAATTTCAAAAAATATTCTTGGTAAGGGAACATTTAATAAAACAAAACAAGCAAGCAAATTTGAAGGGTCCTGATTTCCTATCACAAAGGTCCTGGATTACTCTGCAGCTACTTGGAATAGTACCTGTGATAGTCCAGTGTGTAGCAGGAGGTGCAACTGCAGAAAATTTCTCAAATAGAATGAGAAAAAATTCCTGGCATGTGCAAATCCTGTGAGAGGTGCACTCTGTCCAGTCACTGTTATATGTTGCAAGAAGTTATAACACAGGCAAGAAATATGTCTACTTAACAGAGATCTGTGCTACAAGCTCCCTTTCGGATCTCCCACACAAAAGGAATATTTACTGTCCAAGTGTCAACCCCATTCATCTTTAAGAGTCAGACACCTAAGTCACAACTAAAATAAAAATAATAAAAGGGAAGTAAAATAAATTGTCATCCATCCTGCAAAGGTATCAGAGCAGCCCAAAATATATATTCACTAACAATAATATTCACATGATGAGATTTGCTCTTTTAGTAGACACAGCTTCAAATGACAGCAGGCATCAGCAAGACCCTCAGCTAACATCAGGAAAGAAACTTTATCTCTTACAGTTTAATTTTCAATGTTCCACAAATCCAAAGAATGCACAGCTAGACACTTACTGCTCATTCAAGATGTTAGGACTCTAAAAACAGCTACATGTCTCTTTACTGAAAAGAATTGGTATTGTTTCCACCATTTGGAAACAACATTTTCTGTTTTAACTTGTTCAGAAACCTTGAACAAATCTAGTTGTCTACATTTGGGAACTGCATTAGTGTAAATTAGCCTTTCCTCTTCCAGAAATGTAAAACACAAAGTCCCGATCATTAAAGAGAGAGACTAGAGCAGATTTCAATATAAATTACCGCCAGAAGAGTTATTTGGTTAAGGACTTACCCCTACTCAGCTGAAGAACACCTTCCTTCTTCGTGCTATTACCTGGACAAATTTAAGCCCTGGCTCTCTATTGTCTGAAAAGTATTCTGCATGTAAACATTTTACTAATGAAGTTCATTGATGAAAACACTCAGTCAGATATGTTTCGTGAATATTAAACTCCATATTGATATACACCTGGCTATTTACTAGGGATCAATATTTTTAGCAGACTCTGACCCTGGCATTATATAGGATGCTTTGATTTTGAAACAGAATGTAAATGCTACAACTTTGTTGTTGATTAATTTATTTATTTTCCATGAAGAAGTGTAAATCTGTCTTTGAACCTTCAATGCCTACCATGAAACTGTCTACTTTTAGCTTCCCTGTACTCTTCTGCTTTGGGTGCATATGGCTGCAACGCATCCTCAGAACAATGTTTTGCCCAATATTTCCGCTATAGTCGGCAAAAGTAAAGAAGAACTTCTAAGACTACTTTGACAGCAATAAAAAGCCATCTAATTTAATGTTTGAAGAACCTGGATCCTATCACAATGTTCTGTAATATAATACTGTGCATTTCATCTCACATAAATGATACGCAAAAAAAACAGTGGAGTTACTGCAGCTAACATACTTCCAGAGCTGAGTAATGAATAAAGAGGCAGTATTCAACAGAGCCAATGCCAGGAATGGAGAGGGAAGTAAAACATGAAGTGAAGGAGTCACAAAGAGAAAAACTACAGGAAGGGATTTCAGGCATAAAAAGGGAAAAAAAATATTTCAATACGGGACAGAAAGTTTTTATGAAGGAATAACATGGCCAAAAATTTTAGACAGATAGATGTGTTTGAAAGGAAATAGGGACTCTGTGTTGGTCTTAAAATAATTGAGCAGCCCCTTCACTATGGAACCGGTTTATTCTCATTACCTTCTTGTTACATTCTCATTCTCATAACCGTGCCTCAAATCTTTTTTTCAAGTGCATCCTTGGGATACAAGTTAATGGGGTTGTTTTGCTGACATCCTCTGTGACAGCTACGTTTTCCATTAAAGTCACGTATTACATTTGTTTTTATTCTTCCTGGAGTATCTTATTTTAACTTCCTATTTAGTTGAAGTTTTGCTACTAACATATACCAGTACCCACTCCCAACGCTTACCAAAAGGGAAGGGACTGCTCACACAGGGCCCGCAGTACAGGCACAGGGGGACCGCGGGCTTGGGGCGGTGGGAGCTCTGCCCCGTCCTGCAGCCAGACGGCCGCAGCTTCCCACCCTCTCCCAGGGGAGGTATGACCAGGGGCAAAAAGGCACAGATTAAAACATGGCATGTGTGAAAAAACAGCACCAGCAGTAGCCTGAATTTGATTTCAGCCAGAATGCTAAAAATACAAATCGTATCACATGCTTAGACAGCTAAAGCCCAGATAAATCTTTAAAACTTTTCCTATCATAGCTGCCCTAAACTTTTATTGTTTGTCTTGAACATTTAACTAAAAGGTTTAAGAAATGTTCATTAAAAACTCCAACCCCAAAACAAAGATCTGCTGATGCTTTAGGCTACGAAATTTTTAATCACAAAAGAAACCCAATATTATTCCCCTCTTGATAACCTTTCCTTACTCTTTCTATAGTCTCTCCCCTTACCTCGCCCCCACCCCACACCCCCTCTCCTCCCTGCTCCTGTTCACTCTCCCAACCAATCTTATATTCCACATCCTGTTGTTGCCTCCCACTTCAGACACATATTCATGAATGCAAATAGCATCTTCCCAACAAACAACTAACAGGGAAGAGGAAGAAGAGAAGTGGTGAAGGGAAATGTGAGAGCTCTTAAATAAATAATATTTACACTCTTATGTAAACCTTAATTTACAGATCTCAAAGTGTTTTGGGAAAAGTAGGCGTTGTTGACTTCTCCATTATTCACAGACAGTACAAACATTTTTTTTTTCAAGAAATCCATTGTTTTCTTCCTACACAATTTGTTAACCCTTGGCTGACACTGGACATGATGTTGCCAGTAGCAAGATAAGCAAGTATAATTACCTGCAGCCAGATGAGCATGTTTACACTGAAGAGAAGACTCATCTCACATTTCCAACCTGTTCACTTCTGCACCT